GCCGTCCGTAGCAAAAGATGAGAGTCATCCAGTGCATTGCCCTTTCTACCTTCAGTCTCTTATTCCTTCCAGCCCGGTGCCCGGCTGCTGTAACTGACTCAGTGGCTGCCTCTTTACTGAGCGTCCCAACAGTGGTTCAGGCGAACGGTGACAATAAAGCTACACCGGCCGCAGGGCACCCCCCCTCTCTCTGCAGCAGCAAGGCTACGTCTGGTCCAAGACAAGGGTCGTTACTGGGTTACTAGTCAGTCATCACCAGTGGGCAGAAACATGGTGACCTCTAGTTGAATCAGTGGTTGTTCAGGTCTTTGTTGACACTGTACTGCATTTTGGTACATTTATGGGCATGGGCAAATGGAGAACATTATGCAACAATATTGTAGGGTAAACTGTTTTTTTTCTACAAACTATTAACACAGTGAGATTTTTTATATATGTGTATCAGTAATGTGGATAGAAGAAGAAGGCGCCATTTTGTTAATCCACAAGGGGATATTCAGTTTTTCCCTATTTAGTTTTACAGTACAAATACACACTTGCACATAAGGTCTGAATAAACCACATGCACAAACACATGAATTGTATTATGGGGGCGTGCCAGAGCGAAGAGGTTGCCATGTTTCACGGCGTCAGGGAGCAGTTTGGGTTATGGCGCCTTGGTTCAGGACACCTAAAGTCAGGCACATTATGCAGTGCCCAAGAGGTGAAGAGGCTCATCTCCAGCTACCAGTCCTCACCCACTGCTTCGGGCCGATCGGCGCACTCGAGAACTGGTGACCCTTCGGTTCCCAGGTCAAGTCCATACAGACTGAGCTACTTCCAGTCCACACCCAGTGCTTTGGGCCGATCGGGGCACTCGGGAACTGGTGAACTGGTGACCCTTCGGTTCCCAGGTCAAGTCCATACAGACTGAGCTACTTCCAGCCTAATCTAGTATCATTTACAATGTAGTATACAGCTACAACAGTCTGGTCGGGACATTTTCCCTTACATATCATCCCCTCTTAAGTCACAACCTCAAGTTAGTTAGACGTCCAACATGTTAACATTTTTAACAATTTACTCAGTGTTTTATATTCAATTCACATATCTCCTACTTATTCTGCTTCCTAGGTAAATAATGAATGTTTACAATAATGTATACAATGTTCGAGACTTAATATGGGAATAAATGATAATTTTTGCATCGTTATTCTTGTATTCATTTCATTCATCAAAAGACATATTAAAATGATTATGATGGGATTTGTATTTATTTATTTTATTGGTATTGAGATACACAATTCACTTCCAATTGAATTGACTTGAAAAGTATAGCTTTATTGAAATGTTATCACATTTAAATTAATAGTTTGGCCCTGATCTAGCACACGTAGTGCATACAGAAGGCGCCTTGTACCTAGGACAGTATGGGGACTTGGTCGGCACGACATAACATTGTCCTTAGCTAGCTAGAATGATTGTTAGCGGTATCAAATTATTACTGCTCAAATATCCCTACAATAAGGGCTGGCTTCTTTTCGACACAAGTATAGTGGTAGGTTACTAAAATAGTGAACACACACTTGTGTTCGTTGTACGGTGCTGTGTTGACCAAAGCAACAGCAATCAATTGTCACAGATGTTGAGCGTGAGAAGGGTCCACCATTTCCACACTCAACTTGTTGACCTTTCTCAGAGCATCATTCGGGCTCTGCTTTAAAAATGACTTCACATTGGGACCCACTTACTGCCTGCACTCAAAACCACACATGTAACACAATTCCAGTCACAGCACATGTCCTAGCCATAAGACTTTATTATTGCTTTCTTGTGGGAGTAAACAGGCTGTCAATCGCATCACTGGCTAACAGGGGGTCAGTCACACAAACTATGATTCATGTGTGTACACGACTTGCTGTGCTGTTGCCTAAAGCCCGGATGACTCAACAAACTGTACCAGAGTGGCGCTCCTGTCTCCTGCTGCTCACACTGATTGGACTTCTAACAGCACATACGATACTGTTAAACAAACAAGCTGCTACTAATGCTGCTCATCCATCTCTGCACAGGGAGCAGAGTAGAGGCGGAGTCAGGGACTGGCCGGAGAGACTGATAATGAGCAGCCATAAATGAGAGGTACAGGAGGATGTGGATGGTGTGTGCTGTAGTCTGTGTCCAGGTCTCAGTTAAGGCTGAGACGCAGCTCTCTGCTGGTGCCTCTGGAGCTCAGGATTGGGCTTAGTGTACTCAGCCAAGAGCACGGTGACATATGTGCCATTATTTATAGCCAGCAGATCCGCTGAGAGGCCCAAGGGCTGCTTAGAGAAGGTATTATTTGAGAGCCCAGAGAACAACCTAACTGCCATATAGCTCACAGGACATGTAGAAACACAAAAACCACCCACAAACAGGAGAGGTATTGTACTGTCATCAAAAAAAGAAAAACACAGCAAAGATAATCAAGTGTATGCTGACAACAGTATTTACTAGATCCTAAGTGATCAGCTGGAGTTAAAGCTTGTACTGGGGTTAGTTCAACATTGTCTGGACAAAATGAGCACTTCTAATAAAAAAACGATTTAATTCAGTTTATGTATTAAGGGTTGCACGATTTAGAAAAAAATAACTAATTGCAATTATTGTGACACGATTTCAATTACAATATGACCTTAAATATTGGAGGGGTGATTATTTTGAAAGCATAAGTCACTACAAAATATAATAAAATGATTATGTCGCAATTTATTTTTTAATAAGTCATAAAACAATCTGCAGCACCTACAGCAAATATTTTTATATTTTCACATATTCTGCTTCCAAATATTGTGCATACTGGAATATGGACATTGCACAAGACCATCATGATTTTGATCAAAGATTGAACAATTGCCTAGCACTTTATTGTCACATATATGCATGCAATGCATACAGAGTTAAGGCTGTTACGACAGTGTTGCGACATGCTTCACAGCATGTTAAAGCTACATGTCACAAGTACAATAAAATAGGCCAGAGTGTGCGGAAATAGCAATAGATCAGTGAATGAGATCACAGGGACTAGGAGACCCCTTCTTTCTTAGGCTCAGTGTGCAGTGCAGATGAGAAAGAGCAGTGGACAGTCCAGCTCCAGGTGGATTCTACTCCAATGGAATTTAAAATTGACACAGGAGCTGATGTCAGCATCTTATGTGAGGCAGAGTCCTGCACGGGTCTGATTTTCAAGACCCGCTCCCGTCCCGCACCGGGTCTTGAAAATCAGACCCGTGCAGGACTCTGCCTCACATAAGATGCTGACATCAGCTCCTGTGTCAATTTTAAATTCCATTGGNTTGCGGGTGTTGCATAATAAATATATTTAAATAATAATAATTTAGTTTAATGTTTAAATCCTCAGACCTCTCCCCCGCGGGACCGAGCATAATCATAACCTCTGCAGCGCATCTATCTGCTGCTGAGCGCGCCACATTCTGAATGACTGAGGTGAAGCTCTCCAGCGGAGAATACAGCATTTTCCAACACTTCCTCAAGAGCGAAATCCAACGTCTTGGAGGCTTTTGGTGTCCTCCTAGATGGAGAAAATAACCAACATCCCACGTTTTTTGAGCCAAACATGCAACTGCGTGTGTTAATAATTGCACGTTTTCACTGCTTATATATATGCGGGTTCGGGTCGGGTTGCGGATCCTGTGCCGACGGGTCGGGTCGGGTTGCGGAACTAATTGGTAATATGTGCGGGTAGCGGGGCGGGTTCGGTATTGCACGTCGCGGGTGCGGGGCGGGAGCGGGTCTTGAAAATCAGACCCGTGCAGGACTCTGCCTCACAGCCACAGTCGCCCAAGGTAAATCCACAAGCTACCCTGCAGTATACAAAGTCATTCAAACTAGCTGCACCTTTACCAGCTTTGAGAGCACTTTCATGATCAATCATTATAAAACATATCATATCTATTATTCTGAAATGGACTAATCTGCACAATGACTACTTTTACTGTCGCTACTTTAACTATATTTTGATGATAATACTTTTCTACTTTTACTTGAGGAACATTTTGAATGCAGGACTTTTACTGTAACAGAGTATTCCTACACTACACTACTACAAGTACTATTACTTTTACTCAAGTACAAGATCTGAGTACTTCTACTTTTACTCAAGTACAAGACCTGAGTACTTCTACTTTTACTCAAGTACAAGACCTGAGTACTTCTACTTTTACTCAAGTGCAATATCTGAGTACTTCTACTTTTATTCTAGTACAAGATCTGAGTGCTTCTACTTTTACTCAAGTACAANTATATATATATATAAATATGTTTAGTCATAAATCATGATTTTAAAAATAAAAAGTTGCTTGAAGAATATTCACAAAAATTAAGCAATTGCAATTTAAAGGAAAATCCTTAAAGCAAAAGCCTTTATAACTTAAAAAACATGTTATTAATGTAGTGAAACCACCAGGGGAAATGTTGGAGATGTGTGATGGGATTTTTGTAGAACTTTACTTTGTGATGTTATTTAATATTGCATTGCAGTCTGCTTACCTACCAGTTAAAGAAATACAACAATTGAAACGAAGCTACACGGACTTGAGTGTTACATGATGGTTTTAAAATTCTCAGATTATTGGAAAATTAGAAAAGAGGATTCGTGTTGGTGGATGTATTTATTAAAAATAGAAATGACACAATGACAACCTTTCTTACATCTTCATATGGTCTCTCAGTTGAATATACTTTTTTTTAAAACATAAAACATGGATTAAATCCCCTAAATAATCAAATTAAAACAAATGACAACACCATTTATAGATTTAACATAAACTCGTTTTATTTCTCATATAAAGCGTTACATCTGGTTGTGTTTACTTTTAAATCCGGTTGTGTTTACTGCACAAGTTGCGAGAGACGTTGGTTTTGAGCAACAACAGAAAGGTGGCGGTAATGCGCTATTAAGCTGTTTGCCAACCGCCATTAAAAACAACCCAAAAAAGAAGAAGGAGGCGTGACGTCAACACGTTTTACGTCAGTTGTTTGTGTTCTTCCTGAGAGAGCTAACTAGCTCAGAAGCTGATGATACAAAAAAAAACGACGGATTAAATCATATAAATAACAAACTTTAAACAAATGACAACGCCATTAATAGATTTAAGACATCAACTCGTTACATGTCTCATCTAAAGCGTTACATCTGGTTGTGTTTACTTTAAATCCCGTTGTGTTTACAAGTTGTGAGAGCCGTTGGTGTTGATCGACAGCAGAAACAATGATGGCGTCCAGTTACACCGCAAAAGAGGAGGACGGTCACATCACGGTGTCCGGACCCGGGACTCTGAGGAGCAGGAAGCCGGAGAACACGGCCTTTAAGCAGCAGAGACTCCCGGCCTGGCAGCCCATCCTCACCGCGGGCACCGTGCTGCCTGCCTTCTTCATTATCGGACTGCTCTTCATCCCCATCGGCATCGGACTCTTCGTCACCTCTAACAACATCAAGGAGTTCGAGGTGACATGTTGGTGTTAAATCAGCCATATAACCGTTATAATAACCAGAGGTGGGAGAAGTACTCAGATCTGTACTTTAGTTACAGTATAAGTACTCAGATCTTGTACTTTAGTTACAGTAGAAGTACTCAGATCTGTACTTTAGTTACAGTAGAAGTACTCAGATCTGTACTTTAGTTACATTAGAAGTACTCAGATATTGTACTTGAGTAAAAGTAGAAGTACTCAGATCTAGTACTTGAGTAAAAGTAGAAGTACTCAGATCTTGTAGTTAAAGTAGAAGTACTCAGATCTTGTAGTTAAAGTAGAAGTACTCAGATCTTGTACTAGTTAAAGTAGAAGTACTCAGATCTTGTTCTTGAGTAAAAGTAGAAGTACTCAGATCTTGTTCTTGAGTTAAAGTAGAAGTACTCAGATCTTGTAGTTAAAGTAGAAGTACTCAGATCTTGTACTTCAGTAAAAGTAGAAGTGCTCAGATCTTGTTCTTGAGTTAAAGTAGAAGTACCTGAGTAGGAATACTCTCTTACAGTAAAAGTCCTGCATTCACAATGTTACTCAAGTAAAAGTATAAAAGTATTATCATACAAATATAGTTAAAGTAGCGACAGTAAAAGTCATTGGGCAGATTGGTCCATTTCAGCGCAGCTGGTTTGAATGACTTTGTGGAAGGCGACCTGAAGCTAAGGTTTTGCACAGTTCTGTATGGATAACATTTCCCTGCGTGTTTTCAGATTGATTACACAGGAGTAGATGCTTCCAGTCCGTGCTTCAACTGCTCCCAGAGCTTCAGCTGGAACAGCAGCCAGCCGTGCACCTGCTCCATCCCCTTCTACCTGGAGCAGCCGTACGAGGTGAGAGACGCAACGCAGAGGTGGGAGATAGTGGAGTACAAATACTTCCTTACTGTCCTTAGAGGTCACCTATTCTGCAAAATCCACTTCCTCATGTCTCTCTACATCAACATGTGTCCCCTCTTCTTCATGTCTCTTCTACATCAACATGTGTCCCCTCTTCTTCATGTCTCTTCTACATCAACATGTGTCCCCTCTTCTTCATGTCTCTTCTACATCAACATGTGTCCCCTCTTCTTCATGTCTCTTCTACATCAACATGTGTCCCCTCTTCTTCATGTCTCTTCTACATCAACATGTGTCCCCTCTTCTTCATGTCTCTTCTACATCAGCATGTGTCCCCTCTTCTTCATGTCTCTTCTACATCAACATGTGTCCCCTCTTCTCCATGTCTCTTCTACATCAACATGTGTCCCCTCTTCTTCATGTCTCTTCTACATCAACATGTGTCCCCTCTTCTTCATGTCTCTTCTACATCAACATGTGTCCCCTCTTCTTCATGTCTCTTCTACATCAACATGTGTCCCCTCTTCTTCATGTCTCTTCTACATCAACATGTGTCCCCTCTTCTTCATGTCTCTTCTACATCAACATGTGTCCCCTCTTCTTCATGTCTCTTCTACATCAACATGTGTCCCCTCTTCTTCATGTCCAGTGTGACTGTTTGGCCAAGGAGAGGTGAGGCGACACAACAGTCGGTCCGTTGGGACGTGTTCTTTGGTGTCCGTGTGAAGGAGCCTTAAAGTAACAGACAGAGAATCAGCACTTTTGAAACGGGGCTGAAACAGAGGGGATTATGGGATGCTACTTTATTTTTTAATCTTGTGTGGATCTGTGCTGTCCTGTTTTTCAATATATCCCTGTTGCTGTTAAACTACTGAATTTCCCCACGGGCATTAATAAAGGGCCATCTTACTTGATTTGCTCGCTGGTGCCTCAGCGACAGTTACATTTTTCTCGTTTATTCCCTTATGATTTTGTCCTCTACACTTCCAGTGATCCAGATTTGTCTTTGATCCACAGAGCAACGTCTACGTGTATTACGGCCTCTCCAACTTCTACCAGAATCACCGTCGCTACGTCAAGTCCAGAGACGACAGCCAGCTGAACGGAGACCCCAAATCTCTGATGGTGAGACTCAGTGAAACACGGAAAACTTAAATAAAGTAATTTATTTAAAATGTGAAATTTTACCAATATATTCACGGACCACTAGGGGGCGCTCACGGACCACCCACACTTTGAGAAGCACTGCTCTAGGGTCATCATGCCAATCTTAGGAACATAACTATCATAACTTCAACACAGTGTCTCATGAGCGTCATCCGTGTAGTTAGACATCCGGCTACGTACACAGCTACACCTCTGTTATCACGTGCTGCTCTGATACAGAAGGAACATTCAGTATTCTCACCCCTTCTCTTCCTGTTCTCTTCCTGTTCTCTTCCTCTTCTCTTCCCCTTCTCTTCCCCTTCTCTTCCTCTTCTCTTCCTCTCCTCTTCCTCTTCTCTCAGGAACCCAGTAAGGAGTGTGAGCCGTACGCTTTCCACGAGAAAAAACCCATCGCTCCGTGTGGAGCCATCGCCAACAGCATGTTCAACGGTGAGCCGCTCTCCTGCTAGGTTCAAGGCTTTGTCACCATGTGCTCAGCAGCTGCAGTGTGGATCTGGAGACGAGCAACTGAAGTCCCCTCCAACTGAGCAACATGAACATATAGGACATAGAACAGATACAACTAGAGTTTAGAGAGTTAGTTAAAAACTAAGTATGTGAAAAATATTTAGTTTTTCAGTTGAGCCGTACTTTTCTTTTGGTGTAAATTCCTCCCGGCATGCCCAGTTCCTTTCAGGCTGTATGACATCACTGTAACGTCTCGTTGTGAATATGGATAAAAGATGGCCACGTGTAAGGTCATCTCCTCCCGTGAATCCAGAGAGGAAACCAGAGTTTGAATCTGAAAACATTTCTAGTGCAAGAGAATGTTTTGAGATGTGTAAATACAAATACAATAGAAAGAGTCAAGTACATGGAATATGATATAAAGATAAATAATTAGAAAGACGTAAACAGATGAATGTAATGGATGGTCTTTACAGAGTTCAGGTGTTTAATGAGCGTATGGCCTGTGGGATGAAACCGTCTGGTGGTTTTATTCCTGATGCTGCGACAGAACACTTTGTTTCGGGGGTGATTTGCATCTAAAGGCCCAGACACACCAAAGTGACACCAGAGAACACGTCCCGACCGACCCGATTGTTGTGTCGTCTCACCTCTCCTGCGTCTTGGCCAACAGTCGCACTGGAACACACCGCAAAGACTTCAGCCGACAGCCAAGTAGCACGTACGCACTGCGCATGCGTGAGTGGCAATAACTCTCCTTACCAGCAGGCGGCTGTAGTGTGTATTCCTCATTCAAAAGAGGCAACAACCTTCAGCTCCCTGATGCAGATAGAAACTATTTAAGCATTGTGGCTGGCAACCTTAAAGTACTGCTGCCACCACATTCCATGCATCAGTAATTATAATCCAAGATTATATTAATATACAACATCATAACACTGACAGGCAGCTGAACAGCCAATCGGAGTGATTTATTTTGCCGTCAGCTCCCCGATTCGACATGTTGAATCGGGGGCGGAAGGTGTCGGCACGGCCGAAAACACACAACGGTGCGGGTCACACCAATCTGAGTAGGGCGACAGGACGCTCATCGACGGCAAGACTAGGGATGCATACCGGTATCCGGTCGAAATACCGGATACCGGTGGCTACGGTATACCGTACCGAAATCAGATCCAGTTTCGATACTTTTAAAAAGAAATCTAAAAGTTTTTTTATTTAATTTAAAAGTAAGCTGTAATATCCTTAAACTCGGGCCCAAACCGTCAAATTACGAACTCCACAAACGAGTCAATGTGGAGTGTGGGCTGCACCATATTGTTGACATCCGCCAGCCAATCAGATCGCGCGCCCCGCTTCGGTGATAGGCTTGATTGCCTAGCAACGCTCGTCACCATCCTCCCGAACGTCTGAGCCTTTCGGTTAGCTGTCATTCTTAATAACTACTATTAGCTCGATGTCGGCTTTTTGTTTGTTCTCTCGTTGAATCTCAGGTTTAACATGAATTCTAACGGTGCTATAACGGTCTGTTTGCATAGATAAGATGTGCTATTCACGCGGCACACCTGATGGCGGGTGTTATAAAAGATATTCCATGATCGGTTTTCTTCATATTTTTAATGTATTTTTCATTGTTTGTTCAGTAACCTACTAAAAGCTCCAAGAAGTCCCACAATTGAATTTAATATTCATTTGACATGTGAACTATATCGTAAAGCGCTTCATGGGAGTCATTGTGGGATGATACATTTTCAAAGTATCACGATATGTATCGGTTGAGTATCGGTATCGTAAAAAAGTCACCGATATGCATCCCTAGGCCAGACATCTATCCACGGCGGAAATGGGCTCGGTGTGTCCGGGCCTCCGAGTATGATTTAAGGAGTCGTTTCTAACCCTCTGTCTTTCCTTTCTTTATCTGCAGACACGTTGGAGCTGTTTTACAACGACCCCAACGGCACAAAGGTCCAGATCCTCCTGAACACCACGGGCATCGCCTGGTGGACGGACAAACACGTGAAGTTTGGAAACCCCGGAGGAAACAGCCCTAACCTCACCGCCGCTTTCCAAGGTTTCCCTTCACTGCTTTCTAATCATATCCACAGATACAGTGACGTCCCAGGCCCCGAGCTGAAGAATGAAATGCTGTAATGTCACTGTGAGACTGACCGTTGAGCGGCCCGACCAAGCAAGGAGGCAGAGTCCCGGTCCTGTGTTTAGGGTCACTCACCTTTTGTCAGTGTCATTCCTCACTTTATATGTTGGATGGGAAGAAGTGAGCACTGTACGTCTGCTACCCTCTGCCTTCATGATACATATCTCTATTTACACTGAACAAAGATCACCAGCCTAAGGCACACCTGTGCAAGGTGCTGTCTGCAGTGATGCAAATTAGTCGCTTTTCGGCGCCTCCCGCTTTTTTAACGCTGATTTGGGTGACTTGTGTAATTCGTGGAGAACCGAAGAGTTTTCGTTTTGGGGGGGGTCCGTCCGTCCGACTGACGGACAACTTCTCACTTCAAAAAAGAAGAAGAAATCTAGATCGCAAAATAATTAAACAAGCGAGTGCCTGTTTTTCCTGGCCAAGGACAGGTTCCTTGAACACAACACGAGCGTAACTTCACCATAGGTCTTCACGTGGTTATGTCTCGTCTGAAATGAGTGCTGACGGAGAGCATCGGAATGCCGCTCCAACTCTTCAAATATTGCAGTACCCATAAGGAGCCGTACACATGCCGCAGTGTTTGCGTGGCTGTGTCTTTAGTTGTAAGCACAGTGGCGATCTGTTGTTATTAGGCCATCTGAGTTAGCTAGCGCTATGCATAACGGAATTTAAAGCTTTATCATACAACCAGGTTGGGAAGGAGAGCATCTCTTCTGAGAGGCTTCCACTAACCTCAGCTACAAAGTGAGGGTTAAGGCACACCATTGAATATGTCAAATATATAGTAATTATTAATGAGAAACAATATAAGGAACTCAATGAAAAACCACAGGTATAAAAAATAAACTAAATATGACAAACAAAAAAAAAAGTATGTAAAACAATAACAACATAGAAGTAA